TGTCATCGTCGCTGATCTCGCCATCCTCCAGCTCCCCTTCCTCCTTCGGGGAGAGCCCGCTAGGGTCGGGCGCGGCCGCCGCCTCCGCGGCCGCCATGGGCCCACGACAACGGTCTCGGCGCGCCCTGCACCCTCTCAGCCAGGCCGCGCGGACTCTCGCGAGACCACGGCCCGTCCGTCCCGCCCGGGAGGAGACAGAACCTCGATGGGTAAGAAAAGAAGAGGGGCGGGGCAACGCCCCTAATGTGGGGCATCTTGGGTAATGTAGTTCCCCGCTCGGGGAGAGGCTGTGCAAAGCACAGCGGGGGGAAGTCGGCCCCTCAGCCTATCGCAGGGCGGCGGGCGGCGGCGGGCGCCAATGGGCGCGCGGCCCTCCATGTTGATAGAGGAGGCGAGGGAGGAGGTCGCCATCTTACCGAAGGGCACGGCGCTATGTGGGTGTGGAGCGGTTGCATGGCGGTGGGCTGCGCTGCACTGCTGTCCGCCGCGGGACGATCAGTGGCAGCTCCCTTTAGCACCGTCCAGGCTGCGGGGGCTTGGGCCTCCTGGGTGCTCATTGCGGGTGCTGACTACCATTCCTCTGTTGGTGGGGCCCGTGCCCTGCTGCTCTCTCCAAACAGTGCATAGGCTGCTAAAGAAGGGAAAGCAGCGGGTGTTCAGGCATTAACCCCCAGACCCCTCTTGGTAGCTAAATTAAAGTTAAAATCTTTTAGAAGGAGGTTTCTGCAAAGCTCTCCAAACCTGTAATTGCCTAGAAGTTCAGATTGGCCCTAATGCCTTCACTGATACAAGTGACAAGTGAACATCAGAGAACGTAAGACAACTATATAAACACCTTCAATCATTTGTTTTATTTTCATATCTCCAAGTAGCATTCTGTTGTTACCTAGTTGGTTATTGAGGGATGCAACATCCTACCAAGACTGCTGACTGGACAGCAGTGATGATTTACTTGTGCAGAAGAAAACTCATTTTAGATAAAACCTTTCTAAGTCAGATTGGTGTCTCCTGTAAAACTCACAAACCCTGACTTTTAAAACTGAGAAACCTGAGTTCTCTCAATTATTTTCAGTTATGCATGCAAATTGTCTGCAGATTTGCCGCCATTTTCAAATTTGGAGAAAGATGGCTGTATCTTCATGCTTTTTCTGAGAGTCAATTACTAAGGTGTTTTGTTGGGTATTTGTTAGTGACTTGTCGCACTGTATTAGGAGCAGTGATATTGATGACACAGACTTTCAAGCTTAGTTGCAAAAGAGAATGTATTTTATTCTTCCAGATCCTTTTTTATAGGCAGTTCCAAAAGGGTCCAGAGGGCTAAAACTTTTACTGTCCATCAAACCAACACACCACCATCATCGGACAGTTAGGAACAACATCCCTTGACTGTTTCTTGCACGTAAACAACAAGGAGACAAACAGCACCTGCAAATATTATTTTCTTTCTCTAAGGACTGTTTGAGTTCCTCCTCACGATTTCTCAGGGCACACTTTCTCAGGCCAGTGAGAGAAGGTTATGTGACTTAGTTTCACACAGACGCTGTGCTACCTGCCTGATCTCTCACATTCAGCGTCCACACTGAGTAATGTGCTATGAAATTACAAGCACCAAAATAAAACTCAGTATCACGTTACTATTTCTTTTCCCTTGCCTTCCTCTCTAGACTTCATTTAAATCCAACAAGAATAGAGTGGATAATGGATATGCTTTGTAAAGTCCAAAATGTTGTGCCAAACTTACTTTTCTTTGCTCAAAACACTTTCCACCCTTTTTTTTGATACAGGACAAGCTATATGACTCAAAATAGATGCCATTGCAGTAACTTCATACAAAACAGGATAGAATAATGGAAGGTTTATATCATATCCTAAATTTCTCAAATTTTTTTCTGTTTAAAACAGTGTGTGCATTCTTTAAAGATGTTTACAGGGAAGCAAGTTAAAGGTTTGTTTTTTCACTCCCCCTCCCCAACCCACGTATACATCATTCTACTTTAGTGTGTTATTTGTGTCAGTACTTCTGTTCAAATTGTTGGTATCTCTAGGAATCAAGCTTACATTATTTTACATATCCCACAGTACTAAAAACATGCAAATATGACATAGGATATACTGAAAACTTTCCCAAGTAGCAGCTGGAGGTCAAGCAGGTTTCTTAAACATTGCTAGGTGCATATGTCCATGTCTGAAATCTAGTCCACTGTAGTTACAAAGCAGTTTCAGTACTACTACATTAAGCTGCAGAAATCTCCCTCCCTGCACACATCCTTACTTGGGTATCCCAGAGCTTTACATATATCTGATTCCAGTTGCCTTTGTACAGTTACATTTTTTTCTAAGTGTTTACATACACCAGTAGGAAATTAGTATCAGTATCTTTCAGATAGGAAAGGAAAACATTTATATAACTGTAAGGTATTGGCAAAACATCAGCTCTTTATGGGAAATTACCCTGATGTGTGTATACCCACTCTATTGATTGTTTATTGTATGTTTACTTACTGTTCATCCAACAAGTGTGCTGAATTTATTAAAAAATGCTATATGATCTGTATTATAAATTTCTATCTAAGAAAAAACTTAACCATCTGTACTTAACCATCTGTAAAAGAATACCCTGAGAATCTTCCAGTGGTTTTGTATAGCCTATGGTATCGTATGTCTCTTCTTTCATTTCAGTCATCTGATATTCCTAGCTTTTTGCTATCATCTAAGGTTATCATGCCAGTAATTTTAGATTTCCAGAAAGAAGCAGATTCACCACAATTAACAAATAGAGGAATCAATAATGTTAAATTCTTTTCTGTAAAGGGAATAAAAAGGCATGTGTTAAAAGAACGTTTTTCTGGTGGTTTTGCTATCTACACATTTGAACAAAGGCCATAAGCATTTGAAAACTGCAAGGGAGCTGCCATTCAAATAGAAAACATGAAGAAACTTTCTTGCTTATGACATGAGTAATAGATAAAGAATTTTTTGTGAGGTCTCATTGCAATGTGTGAACCTAAGAGAAAAAATAAATTTTATTTTAGCTGCATTTGACTTCATGCCTCTGAAATAGATTATATTGCTGCTGTAGAAAAAAAGAAATTGTATTTAATAGTAGACATAATTTCAGTTGTTATAAATGCATATCACATTATTGGCTTTTCGCAAATATTATAATGAATGTTATATGTATAAGATTAGAAAATTTTGCTGTATTAATACAGTTTCCTTTATTTCTGTTATTGATGAAACCTAGAAATAGTGGTATAATACATGTATGTTAAGGTATGGCATAGTATTAAAACCAAAATTACTTCTGTTTGTATAACCCAAAGACTGAAAAAGATAGCTAGAGACCCCCTGCATTCTTAGGCTATCTTATCCAGATGAAGACCACCATGACCGGAGTTCTGGCGGAGAAATCTATTGCATTTCTGTTATCAGGGAATGTAAATCTCGGTGGCACCAAGAAGATTGATCTATTGGGAAGGAGGCAAGAAAAAACTAAACAGAAGAACACCAAAAATCCTAAGAAGAATGTCTGAATATGTATGAGAATTTTTAGATATGTAGTAGGGTTCTGTTTTTAAAGGACAATCCTTTGTTAGTAGGTGTGCTCTCTTGGCTGAATGCAGAGACGCCCGGCCATGTCTGTATACTTTACTTTATTTTTATCTCCTAATTGTCTTTTTATTAAAATTTTAAATTCTATAAAAAAATTACATGAACTTTGTTTTTCACACAGCGAAGGACAAATAGAATAATTTTAAATACAGAATACAGAATACAATGTTTTAGTACAGGAGCACTGAATTTGACTTATTTCAAAGTTTGAGGCAGGAAATTAGTAATACGTTTACCATATAAATTAAATTCAATGATAAAAAGTAAAGTAAATTTTGTTTTTACAGAAGCACAGTCTGAGTTATAAGGACTTCGCTGGATTTCAGAATATAAAAGACATTCAGTGTTTTTTGGTGCTATAACATTTGGCTTAGGCTAAAATTATTTTTGCTTTTCTTGCTTTCCAATTTTCAATTACTATCACAGGTTCAGGGTGGAATCCCTGGTTGTTGAGGTAACAAAGATAAATGTATTCTTTGCATTTCCTCCACAGTTTTGTGTTTTTTCCTAATTTCTGCCTGTGCCAGCTGACTCAGTGTCCAGTTAATCCGTAATTTGACACTGTTGCACAATTTCACATAATTTTGTTGTTCTATTTCTTAACTTATTTCTTCTGGATTTTTTGTTTGGTTTTTGTTGTTTTGTTGGGTTTTTTTTAAACAGAAAGCTGTGTGAAATCTTCCAGAGAAGAAATCAGTTTCTATCCAAGCAGGAGCATCCAACTTCAAAATTAACACTGAGTGTAGGTAAGTTCTCACTGAACATAGCCTAACACAGTGTCTTGAACACAATGCCTTCACAATTCATATGAAATTAAAAATAAGTAAAAAGTAGAGGAGACCATAAGTTTGAAAAAAGAACAAAGAATCACACTCAAATAGCAGGCAGAGCTGCATAATGATAGAATTACATACTTGCCTCATGACATGCTTAAAATCAACTACTATTTCACCAAGAGATATATCTGAGCAAATTATGTTAAATACCTAAAGGAATCTTCCCTTGAATGAAATAAAAATATGACATATTTATATGAGATAGGAGATTAAAATGATATATTTTATAGAAGACTGTAAAAGGTTTTTAAATAAAAAAGTAGTTAGTCGTCTTTATTTTGGTATTTATGGGGAGTTAATGCTAAAATACAAATTAGTCACACTGTTATATTCTCAGACATGCACTTGGTGATGAGAAAAATCTTTTTATGACTGTGCAATTATTCAGTACCTATCAGTTACTAAAAAAAGACTTTTTAAAAATCTGGAAGATGTCAAAATGGGATTTTAGTTTTTTACCTCAGGTATTAATAGTCTGGAAGACTATTCTGGACTAGTCTGGAAGAGCTGATTCTAAGAGTTCTGTCTTTCCAAAAGACAGAACTCTTGCAATACAAGAAGCTTTTTTCTTTTGCAAGAGACATTATTTTTAGGAACATAAAGTAATCACTGCAGATAACTTCAGATGAAGCACACTCAAGTAGCAGTTAACTCCTTCCTGTTAGATGTTGCTAAAAAGAATGGCTCTTTCCTCTCAGGAACCTCAGCACCCTTTCCTGTTCCCTCAGAGGTTTTCAGCTGAGGATCCTGCACTGGTACTTGAGACCCTACACAAGCCTTTTGAGCAAGGACTCCTAGAAGTGAGCAACATGTTGGAGAGAATTAAGCAAGCAAGGTCAGAAACTGAACCATAGAACTCTTGCCTTCTTCATGGAAAAGAAAACTGTAGGCTTTTTCTGCTGAGTTTGTACTTGTATTGGACACTTAGCCCATGGTTAAACCCAAAGACCATGGTGAGTGTGTAGTGGGTTTTTTTCCTCTTTGATAGCATGTTTGGTGTTCCTTAATTCTTCAAACTGTGTAGAGGGTTGATTAAAGTTATTGATAGTGTTATTTACAGAATGCAGGTGCTACAGCCAAGTTAGAGATATTTAACAGATCAAGTGTCTGTGGTAATTTTTCGTGCTTGGATAGATATGCATGTACATATATAGCATATATAGCATGATTAAGCACAGCATTTCTACTGTTTTTGTATTTTCCTCAGTACTTTTTAAATATTTCATATATTCCTCAAAACATGAGACATTTAATCTGAAACTAAAAGCTCAAATTAGGATGATTTAAAATAATATAAGCAATTATAACTTTTCTATTTGGTAGGTGAATACTTCAATGGAGTTGGTTCCACACAGAATGCTGGAAGGAGAAAGAAGTGAAGAAATAAATTTCATATTAATTTCCTGAGATTTTTTTTTTCTGATGAGGATCATGAAATTATACTGTAGCATGGTCATCTATGTATAGAAGGTACAATAGCTTTGTTTTTGTTAAAAACACTGTAGAAACATATAGAAGCAATATCCTATCATGTCCTGCAGTTTTGAGAATTACTCTGTCCCACATGGCATGTTGCATTTGTTTTCAAGTAAGAAGTGTTCTCAGGTGCAACTAATCCCAGGTGATGGGTAGGACTTGGAGCTTCATGCATATCTCTATTGGATCAACTTGGATCAGTTCCCATCTGTGACTTGGACAAGGAATTTCTGCCTTCAGGGTTTTCCAGATTGGTTGTTCTATGACAGGAGATCAATCTCCACAGGCAGGGCCACAATGTAATTCTACAGGGTTAAAGACAGAACAGCAAGAGTCCTAGCTGTTGACAGGAATTTTTGTTGGAAAATGTATCTATGCTAGTTGGAAATACGCAGAGTTTAATTTCTACCTATCTGTCTGTCTGTCTGTCTATCTATCTATCTATCTATCTATCTATCTATCTATCTCCTATATTCTATATATAGAATATAGGATATTCTATATCCTATAGAGAAATCTATCCTATTTCTATATAGGATATATAGAAATATCCTAGAATATTTCTAGGATATCAAGGGAATATCCTAGAACCAGAGTATCAGGGTGGGTTTTTTTTCAATTAAAACATCAGCTGCAATAACCTTCCATAATTTTGTTTTTTAAGTTTTATTTACTTTTTTTCCATTCAATATCTTTTCATACTAGCTGAAAAAGACATCCCCTTGCACTGTGCCACCAGGCTGCCTGATTATTTTTACTATTAAACTTTCCAACAAGGGAGACAGACTTTAAAAAATGAATGCCTTATAAAAGCGGTATTACTAAATAGGAGTATGCATATAACTTCTCGGTAGATGTGAAGTGTGGGGACTGTGGGCCCAGAGAACTAAACTGATATGTAAAGAGGTGTGACACAATCCTCAGTGCCAGGACAATTTCTCAGCTTTTCTTGCAGCAGTTCGCTGTTACTTTTAAATGTAATCTGAACTATGAATATGTAGGAAAATTAAAGAATTTTAAATGTTTTGTCCAACTCCAAACAACTTTTCTTTATGCTATTTTCAGGAAAGCTCAGGAACCTTAACTTGGCAAGGAAACGAGTTGAAGGGGATGGTAGTTACAAAGGCACAGATGGTTGATATTTGACTTTGCCTGTTCTGCTAAATAGGTAGGCTTAGATTCAATCCCTCAAGAGCAGCTGGTTTTTGGGACTAGCCCACTCTAGGCACTTCCTGGAATCATCTCCTCAGAGCAGTACAAATATGTCTGGAGAGTAGCTTTACAGATAAGCAGTGTCAGTTACTGAGAGGTCAGTGTTTCAGCTGCAGCCGGCTGCTATTCATTTTTTTCATTTACCAGTATAAAATATGTAAACAAAGTCTTCTGTATTAGTTACTGTAGAAAGGTTTCTTTACTGGTTGTTTCAGTTCCCCTGCTGTAAAGTGACTTCAGAGGGGAGATATAATGCAGGAATCTCATTGTGTTAATTAGTAGGAGGACAGTGACATCCATAAGCACAAATTGACTGTATACAAATGTCCTAAGATGATTCTTGAACAACTTGAACCATTCCTGGAAATGTTTCAGTACCTTAAGTCAGCCAGCAGCTACTAATGGCCTGATTCTCGTACAGAAAACTTTTCATTACTAGTTATATTTGCATGTGAGTCTTTTCTAGTAAAACTGTACGAGCAGTTTTCAGGAAATTCAGAAGCTCTCCATGTGACAATTCTGACTCTGGAAGAGTTCTTGAATTTCTTGTTTTCACAGCCTTTGACAAATGTTCTTTGGGGTTTGAATCTTTAGGGGAAGGAAAAAGAAAACAGCTCCAGCATGCCTAAAGCTTACACCTAAATCAATGTGTAACATAAGAAAAATTAAACGTATAAAATGAATTCCAGATAGTTGGACATATTTACAGGTGGAAGCCTCAAATAATTAACATAAAAGCAGGCTGGTAAAGTCTCAAGAAAAAAGGCTGCAAAATATATTTTAAAAAAGTCATGAGGCAGTCTACAAACATAATCATGGATGTTAAAAATGTTCACTTTTTATTTATTTATTGTGATTTCTTCTGAGAAGATTTTGTTTCAATCCTAATCATTCTCATTTCTGCATCCATATTACCAAATACCAATGTCATCAAGAAAAAATAAATTACCTGCAAGACTTGGCAGCTGGGAGATAACCTCCTGTTGTTATAGTGATGCCATAGACTTCACAAAACTGAAGAATTTAGTATCTTGAAAAGCAAAGCACCAGGTTTTGTTTATATTTGTTATGAGAAGGGTATAAATAAGGCATAAATGCAGATTCCTTTCACAGATAAAGAAGTTACTCCCCAACCCCCACCAGCTTGTCAAAACTTTTTTTCAGAGATTAAAACTTTAGTGCTATCTTAGTGGGTTGTGTACAGTGGCAGGATGTTCTGGGACTTCAATACCAATTTCTGACACTGGGTGGATCTCTGAAGTCAGGAGAACAAGTAAATCTTTAATAGACACTGTTTTGGCATGAGAAGAGTGGATTGGGCTCCACCCTGTTTGTTAGTGTCTTGATTTCTCCATTTTTAATCTGCTTCAGGACAGAATGACTTCCTGTGGCATTTACTGTTGTTGACTGAAAGAATGGGAATAAGTTATCACAGCAAAGAAAAAAGCAGAATACTCAGTGCAATAGTCTTTCTGATGAGAAACTTCTGTTGCTGAAGGGAATCTGCAATTCTTTGTCATAGGACTTAAACTCATCTTACTTTTGAAATACTTTTTCTGCACCAGTTCTGCTGAATCTGGACTGAAGAGAGAAAGGTAAGGGATTGCTTAACTTTTGAACACATGTTGTTATAGCCACGTGTTTTTGGTAAAACTTTCTTTCCTTATTCCATAGTTTTAGTTTTCCAGGATATTTTCACATTTCATACTTAATTATCCAGTTTCTAAACTGAAAAAATCTTCAGTTCCCTAGCAGTGTTTGAAGTTGGATGTGTGGGTATTTGCCCTGGGAGAACCAGGACCAAAATTCTGTACTGCCAAAGTCAAAATGTTGTATTTGCATGACTTATTTTTTTGATTTAGTAAGTATTGAATGATACAAAACTCATTCTTGAATGATACAAAACTCATTCTTTATTAAAAAGTAGATTATTAAAAAGTAACTGGACCAAAATCCAGTTGATTGATCACAGAGTGCTTGCTGCTTTTGTCTATCTGTAAAATACAGCTAAATCTGTAGTGCACTTGCCAAGTCCATTATCCTCTAACATTTATCTCTCTGAGGAAATGGTATTTATCTGGTTTAACAAAAAACTGAACATTTGCCCAGGTTAGACACAATATATAATTTTTCAGATACAATCTTACAAATACAAGTTTACAATCTACAGTAAATCTAAGAATTATGAGTTTTAATTTATATTATAAACTTCATAATAATTGCTGCAGAGTATGTAAGAAAAATAATTATCTTCAAAAACACAAGATACCAGTGCTGTCCATAGTAGTTTTTAATAGGCTGCAACTGAAGTGTAGAGTCTTTTGTGGCACAAGACCAAATCAATACAAGATTTCTACATTGCATTAAATGTGGAAGGTCCCATTGTGCTGGGGATTTGAATTTGCATTCAACCCACAGCTGGCTATTTCCCTCATGACCTTTCCTTATAACTTCTTTGGTAGTTATATGGGTAACAACTGAATGATTTTATCATTTATATTAATATATTATTTATAATATATTTCTATTATATATTTTTTTCTTATTTATATTATATCCTTAGGGTTCAAGGCAACTTTTACAAATGTTTAATGAAATGTTTAATAAAATGCTTCACTGTGTTTAAAAAAAAGGCAGATCATCTGGTTTTATGTTGTTGTTAAGTTTTTCATGTGACCTGCAACAAGGCATTGACCAGTATTACTTCCCTTCCTTAAATTTTGCCAATTTGTGAAGTTTTTTTAACTTTGTATGATTAACTGCTATAGAAATGTAAAGTACTTGTTGCTAATTCAGAGAGACACAATATCCTCAGTATTTAAGCTTATGTGTTTGTAGCTGATGCTTGTGCCTTTCACCTGTATATAACACCCTGCCATAATGTAACACTAATAGTGCCTTTATTCAATTTTAATATTCATATTAATTTTGATACTTCATTTTCTACTATGCCATGTTTTTAGTAACATAAAAAGATGAAATAAAGTTCAAGGTTATTTAAGATGCATTTTACATGCTTAAGTAGATTGTATATGATGGATTATAAATGTAAACTAAGAAATATAACTACAGAAAAGCGATGTGATAACTATTTTTCTATACTTCCATAGTCAGAACTGAATTAAATACATATGCAGCAGGCTCTACCGTGCCTCCAATCTTAATCAACTGAAACAGACATAAATGAGGACTACACTGAATAGTGGATAAAGTGAAGAGATGGTTACTGTATTTCTCCTATCAGAACTATCAGGAGCTTATCAGTATTCAACATATAGTTTCATTCATCCATTTGATGGTGTTGTTATCATCTCCCTTGAGTTTTTGGGTCAGTCCTCACATGGTATCACCACATCTTCCCTGACTTGCATGGCATTGCAGCATCATACAGCCACAAAGGGTTCACACCAAAATGCATGAAGTCTTTCGTTACAAAAGCATCCCACTCTCTTCACCTGGAAAAGGCAGAGAACTGGAGTCACTATAGCTTAGAGCAACTGAAAACAATGCTGGCAAAAGGCAGTAGGGAAGATACAAATTCATATCCTGACTGGAGGCCCAACAGATGAAACACTATCACCCACCGATTACACTGGCAGAGTTTACCCTTCAAACAGCCATTGTGTGGTTTAGTGCCCTTTTATTTCAGATGCAGATAGAAACATTATGAGCAACTGCTTGAAAAGTCTCAGTCAAAAACCGTTTACATTGACACAGCATTTTGG